AGAACTAGTCTGGGAGTTTCAGCATGCATTCATAAGTTCAGCCAAGGATATTTTGCAGTCAAGCCAAGAATTGTAACCAGACATGTTCAGTGTGTTTCAGATACCAGTAATACCAGGTGTCACAAGGCTTCTGTCTCATCTTTCTTCCTCACAATTTGCATGTTTTGTGTAAATCGTCCATCCTTTCTTGTCACCTTTGTCACTGGTGCAGTCTTTTGTGTGTCAGTGAAGGATGGCGGACTGCATGCCATTCTACAATATGTCACTGGCTGCCCACACCTGTGCCTGCCGCCTCTTTCATCGCAGCTCCTTGCCTCCAACACAGCAGAATAAGTGGGATGGTTGCAGGAAGGAGATGTTTTCTTTTAAGCAGTGCTTTATTTCTGAATGACAGTAGATGGCATCAGAGTGTTTCACATGTAGTGTGTGCCGTGTTCAGACAAAGCCGTTAAACCATCACTCTGTGCTAATGTTAATAATAACATTTAAAGTGTGCAAGTCGGCCTGCAGCCTTTGTGTTAGGTTTGAAATGTGATTTCCACCAAGAATAGCTGACTACGTTTTCACCAAATTACAAATAGGTCAATCCTATTCTTTGTTGCTGAATAAAAACTTGAATATTTAATTATTTTTGAAAATATGCGTTAGCTGTTTGTAGCTTTCAATATAATAATTTTGGCTTGATTGATAAGTAGGCATCAGTCAGTTTGAAAACTTGAAGCAGTTTTATGGTATTTTAAAATGACTGGAATATGGTACAATGGTAAAATCCCTTTAAGCACAATCTATTTTAAGTTAAACATGACAATAATAATTCAAACATGATAGCATGTGGATTATTAAAAATACAAGTAGTGATGCTTTATTTTCCTGTTTAAAAATACCCAATCAGATAACTTTGTCTTTAACTGGGAATTAAATTTAAGAACAACCAAAGGGTGGATAAAGGGTTAATCTATACCTAACACTTTTTAAATCACTTTTTACTAGTACTTTTTTACTATTTTTTAATTTATTTTTTATCTTTTTTTCTTTGGAAAATAAAAAAACAATTCATATCATGTAATTTTCATGGCTTTGAAGAGGTTCTATATCTGCATAAGGTGACCTGCCTTAAAACCAGTACCTGACCTGTGCCTAGCTGTGTAACGGATGGTCATCACCAAAATGTAAACTATAACTGCTAAAACTATAATAAACTGGCCAAAACCTGTTGTGATAAATGCATGGATATGGTTTTATTTCCCTCAAGTGGATTTTATCATTTCGTTTTTTTCCCCTCACTTTTGTCCATTATTGATTGAACTCTTAGGGGCTGAGCTCATTATCAGATTTACCTTTTTGGAGTTATTCTCTGCGGTGCCATGAAGCTACRTGTCCAAACTGCACATGTAGGGCTAAATTTGACAGATGGATGCAGACAGACGGACTGTCTCCTGGCGTCTCCCAGCCTTGTCGTATATGTAGGTCTTTCACTTCTCTGTGCCTGTGTGTTTGTTTGTGGGAGTTAAGAGTGGACCAACTTGTCTGAAAAGGGAAAGGGAAAAAACAGCACGGGTTTGATTCTTGGCAACGAAACCCAAAGTAAATTAACTGCATAATACACACACGTTAGTGGTTTCATAAAACTGATCTGTTTTTGGCGTTGCTGCAAGGRAGCTTATGTTTTCTGTAAGTAACACCTCTGTTTGTGCCGTGGCACATCCAGTGGTTTGGCCTCTTCTCATATATGCACTCATGCTGCACAAGCTTTAATGTGTGTATGTTTGTTCATTTTGTGTGTGTGTGTTTGAGCACTGCGGTCCAATGTATTGGTTGCAGTGTATTCCTGGAAAGCCTGAGTAGGAGTGAAGGGGCCAGGGTTATTCCACAGCTGCACCACAGCCAGCGACGACTGTTTTCTAGACGCTTCCCTGTCATTTTGAACAAAGCAAAAAATAAAAATAAAAAATAAACAGAAGGTTTACGGGCATTTTATTTTATACCCCACATAGGCACTGCGACTGCCTTTGACAATATGCGGCGATGCAAGCCGTGCACACGAAAGTTGGCTCTGATTTTGAAAGAATTGGCAGCTCAGAATGCCACTGCACCACTCGCTGATCGCAGTCAGGATTCCATGATAAAGTTGCCTATTTTCTCACGATTTCTTCATAGATTGGGTTGCCAACGAGTCTCCAACAGCMCCAGCCCAGTGAGATAACGAATGAATAGAAGCAGAGAGGAATTTAACTCACTGAGGAACACAGAGTTGTGAACAAAGTTCTACATAATGGTCATTTTATCCTTCATTTATTCTTCTTTACACTTTTCAAAAGAGTTGCTCTAACCCTCATCTTTCTTCTTAATCCTTTCGTCGTCATCGTCTTTGTCCTCCTGGCAGCTGTGTAACTCTGCAGTCACTGACCTGCAGTACCCAATCAGCACTTTTGTTGCCAAGACCGCTTTTAATTTAACAAACAAACTTGGATCCGTGAAACCAACCCTAAAATTTGTGGTGGAAGAGGAGACGCACATCGTCCTGTTGAAGAAATGCTGGGTTTTTCTACACCAGATACCTCTGAATGAAATTCATGTCGACAGGCAAAGTATTAAAATACCGTGCAGACACAGAAACATCCTGGAGTTGTGCCACGTTCAGGAGTCTTGTTGCATGTCTCCGTCCTTTTCCCCAAAGCCTCCTCAGCTAAGAGAAGCACATCTGAACTCTCCATTACTCAGCTCAATATTCTCCTCGTCGTTCCGCTCATCCATCTTTTCAACCCTCCAACTTCTTTTCACCCAGTGCCAAGTCAAATCCCAACTTTACCCAACAGGTTTTATCGCCTAGCTGTTGTTGGTGTACACACAAACGCCAGGTTGTGTAAATATTACCAGAGGATGAGTTTAACGATCCAATTCAAGACAGCCACCACAGCTGATCAGTGCAACGATAAAATGGCAATAATAGTTCATTATTCGGGTGTTGTGTTAAAGTTTTCTGTGGTCGTAGCTGAGTGTTTCACTAATATTTCTCACAGATTGTGTGAGAACTTGTATTCTTGCAGAGCTTTATAAGGTTTGACCAAAATRTAGGGATTTTGACATATCGTTAGCAGCTGCTGCCATTATTCTTCCTAAACCACTGTGACCGGATTGTGCAGTGCTGTTTCATTATTTCTATGAGTTTCAAACTGCTACATCAGGTAGTTAGCCGCAGACTCGTTTTTGAGTTATTTATTTTTGAAGAGCCACTTTATAGAAAGTAGGATCAAATTCAATCATCCACGTTTTTCTAGTCACCCCTAAAATAAGTAAGTTTACGTGAAGAATATCATTTTATTTGCCTTTGTTCTAAATTAGATAATGATCTGAAACTTTGATTTTTTTTGCAATAGTTAGCAAAGTGTGCTGRCACTCGTCTTTGTCACCTGACACATTTTACACACGATCATTGGTTGAGGAGCTTTGTTTACAAAACAAATGTGCACATGGATTTAAATGGTATTCATTGCTTTCCAAGGCACATCAAGTTGATTTGCTGTTGCAGTTTGGTGACATGAGCTATACCCTTTTCCTGCTACTTTTACATTGAATTTTATAATGTTTTTATTGATTTTTAGGATACAAGATGCTTATACAAAAAAAAGACTGGATCTTTTCTTAAAATTTCACAGAAATGGCTTGAACATTAAGGAAGTTATGAGCAGAAATACATAGATATAATATTTGTACTAGGGGTGTAAGAAAATATCAACACACTGAAATATCGCGATATTTCATTTCCCGATACTATATCGATATTCTAAAGCCCTGTATCGATTTTTTATTAAGGTTTAAAACGTCAACTTTCCTGCCAGCCGTTCATTTTTATGTTGTAGTTCAGCCTCTGACCACTAGTTGGCAGCAGTGAGCCAGCCATTTGGCTMCTCTACCTCTTGAGGTAGAGGCTATTAAGTGTTGGTTGACCATATTGTAAATTAATATTAAAAACTAAAAGCTGCAAAAAATATATTTTCAAACTAATTATTGTCAAATTTAGTCTAATAATTGAAAATATGGATGAAATAAGAAATATGAAACAAATAAAATAAAAYACATACAAAGCAGAAAACAGCTAAATGTATCAAAAGTATGTCTCTGTAATATTAGAATTTTCTGAGACAATGAATTTTGGCTTTTCATTTTTTTTCCCCTGTAAGAGGTTTTTATTTAATAGAATCTTTGGACAAAAAAATCGCAATATATCGCCTTGCTTATAGTATCGCAATATATCGGGATATATCGTATCGTGACCCCTCTGTCATGATATGTATCGTATTGCCAAATTCTTGCCAATACACAGCCCTAATTTGTACTATTAATTAACATTCCCAATTTATAGTACAAATAATTTGACAGATCCAGTTGGGCTTGCTGTTATTCAAATAGTTGCTATGTCGGCTGCGAGCCGACGCCCTGTYTGGTCACCATTTTGGTTTCTCCATGTTGTCACAGATGCTAACAGTGGAGGAGATGGGCAGGGCTCGCTCTAGTGATATTTAACTCTATGACAAAGCAAAATTGACCCAAAGGTTCATTGCAGCAAATATCATGACCATAACTTTCTTCAGATTTGAGATGACCACAATTTTTATTTTGTAGGATTTGATTTTCTTTTTAAATTCACTGTCAGATCTTATATTTGTGAGTAATAAAGATTAAATGGTAATAACTCATTAAAGATTATTAGAACTTAAAACTTTGGCAACAAGGGCAGGTAATATTTTTAAACTTTTTTACTTCCAGTTTTATCACAATGAATCAAATTTTAGTATAAATAGAGGTTTTTGTACTAAACTAATAAACTTTTCAGAGCTTCATGTGTSCTGAAGATTTAAAGCATCACACAGGAACACACACTGAAAGTTCTAGTTGGGATTAAAAAGGCATTAATGAATCCTCAGCTCTATTCTTAGCCTGAAAATCTGCCTCAGCCTACCGGTGATGATTAGACCTGCGTCTGCTTCGTGTTCAGTCCGGGTGGAGGGACACAAATGCGTATAAATAGCKCCTCGGAGAGGAACTGCGCTTGAAACGTGAGATCCTCCCCTCCTGACCGTGGATGGTGAGGAGGAAAAAAAAAAAAAGAAAAAAACGTTTTTTGTTTTCTTTTTCCACGAAATGGGGGTGCAGATGTGGCTTTTTTTCCCTGTATTTTAATGAGCTTTAGAYCTTACTTCATGTCGGACTGAAGCCGGGGGAGGGGCCGCGTTAAGAGGTAAAAGATAAAAAGGATTAAATTAACTTTTTTTTTTCCCCCGAGTTCCCTTTTTTTCCCCTGCAACCCTGCCCCACAACGCGAGGAGGAGGAGGGAGGGTGGATGTTTGAGCAGCAGCCACAGAAAGACGAGAGGTGTCGGAGTGGAGAGATCCGCAAACAGCCGCTCCGCATTGTTCCGTCCACGCGGACCCCCGCCCCGGCGCGCGCCGCTTCGCTTCGCTTCTTCTCGTCCGAGGTGCGACCGAAAACCCGAGAAGACGCCGCCGGTTCTGCATTTGTTGATCCGCTTCCTGGCGCCCAGGATGAGGTTCAAACGGAACGGCTCGTACACGTTAAACAGGTGAGAGGGTGAGGTAATGCTCATGTGTGTTTGCGTGAAGAAGAGGAGGAGGAGGAGGAAGGAGCGCGTGGTCGTCATGACCAAAGCTCATAAATCACTTCACTTCCTAACATTTCCACGGAAGCAACAGTGCCGCTCGTTCTGAAATTGTTTTAACGTCAGACACGCCCCAGTGGTGATAAATGGGAACTAGTCTGTTAAAATATCTCGTGAACTACAGGACTGGTTTTAATGAACCCTCCCCAGAAATGAATCACTAGATGTGCATCTGCGAGTGATTAACTTATGGAGTCAGCCTCAGTTCCAATGACAGCTAATTTTAATAATAAAACACAAAAATGGCTCTAACTCAGCCAGTTTTACAGACATTAAGCTATTTTTTTTGTGTGGTAGTAGCTGAGACGTATCCCCAAAGCATACTCTGAGCACTAACTGATTGCTTTAGATTAATTTAWATTTGCCATTACCGCTCTTTGTCTCCAGTTGCTTGTCTGTTAGCAGCTTATGTTGTGAAGCACCGAACAGATATTAATGAGACTTTTAGAAAATAATGTTTGGCTTTACATCTTCAACTCATTAGCTTTTKGAGTCGACCCAGTTCAAGATCCACAGCTAATCAACCTTAATCAGTACAGCCATGRTTGTACTGTTATTGACCTAAATTTTGATATGATAGTTGAAAGCTGATGGTTGGTCTTTAYTGTCATTGTTGAAATATCTTTCTTACATTTACTACAATGAAAGCTGGTTGTTTATTGGAACTGATACAAAGGAGACTTAGTTATTTTAATGTATGTAAATATACAGAATTCCTCAGGTTTCGACAGGCTAAAACATCTTCAAGGAATGCTGTCACATCTTGACAAAGATGTGATTTATTTCTGTGGTGGGGTTTAAAACCAGCTAGAGTCTGGATCAGGAGAAACCCGTCTGTTGGGCTTTTAATGGTTTTAGCTTCAAACCCAGTTTCCCCTCCTCAACTCAAGAAAAGAAGCTAAATTATTTCTGCCTCCTTCATTTAGCTTTTCTGGTCTAATTGTTTTAACAATAGCGCAATAAGTTGATGCATAAGTTGTAATTTTGCTTTTTGGAAATGATCACAAGATAAAATGAAATTTAAAAAAAAGATTTATTGGAAGCCTGTGAAAGTTTTAAACAAATGAATATCTCCATTGTCCATCTCCATCTGTCCATGACCAGAGMCATATCTCTGGTCATTGTGGTTGTAGCTGATGGTAAAATATTTATCTGAGGCTGTTTTTGTGCGTGATAGTTATTACTTGAACAAACAAATTTGGATCTAACTATTTAAAAATGTGTCCAACAGAAAATAAAAACATCAAAAATCTCTGCTTCGTCACATCATCTTTGAAGTTCAAGGACTTTTCAGGTGTAATATAGGTGTTTTATTCCAGCAAACAGTCCTTATGGTTAAAAGAAAGCTGAGARACTTCAGTGAGTTCAGTTGTTTTGGTACAATAGTGTTTTTCTACATATTCGGTTTAATTGGGTGTCCATAACGAGCTTATTTAACATTTTGAACTGTTGTTTTGTACATGTGTAGTGGCGTGAATGATGTGGTCTACATTTTTTTGCCTACTAACCTAATTTCTGTTTAGTTATGTCGGCCTCCATTCATTTGTGTGATGTTACCCATTACTTCAGCTCTTTTCCCAGCTTTGTTATAGTTCTCTTCTTTCTCTCTCTACATATAAACCATAAACCTATCTAAATATCTTTCCTTATTCCACCTGGCAGAGGCTGTTACTCCGGATGTCTTGCTTTTGTTGTTTTGGCTTTTTCGATAAGGCCGAAAATCCTGAGGAACTAAAGACTAAAGAAAAAAAACACTTAACAGCCACAATAACTTAGTCACATATTGTTATAAGTGACAGTTGAGATTTAACGGAGGTTTCATTTTCAACACTTTCCCATGTGTCTGCGTTCCGCTGCATTTGACACACACACATACAAAGACACACACACACACACACACACACATCCTGGTTCTCATGTGCAGAAACACAAAAGGAGCCAACGAGTGCCAAAAGGCTCACTTCTCCTCACAGCTTCAAGTGCAAAAAGTCGACGTTATTGCCATAAAAAAATCCCTCCTCCCCTTTCTGTTTTCACTTAGGAAATTGTGTGCCGTTAAAAGTGTGTTTCGCTATTGCACCATGTGGTCATTTGCGTAAGCGATGCTTTCAGGGTGCAGTTTTCACTTCTGTGTACGTGCAGGTGAAGAAACGAGGTGATTAGACGGTGAAGAGAGAGAGAGAGAGAGAGAGAGGCCTGTTAGCTGTAGCTCCTGGTGACGGTCGGCTCTCTAGAGAAGAGGAGGGATGACATCATTACACGGAAAGCTGGTGGGATGCAGGTTTTTTTTTTTTGTCATCGTTTTAATCTCAGAATAAACAAAAGCAGAGAGAAGTGCCACAAAAAAAAGCTCAGCATTGTCCCACAAAGCCATCTGAAGTTTAATGCTGCAGTATTGAGCAAGAATATCCACCAGCTCTGGTTTTGTTTAAACCCATCCCTCAGGTCAGAGCTTTTTGTGATAACTCAGCGACAGAATAGGAGAAAATCCAACCCCCCACCCCCCCTGCAGTTGTTACGCAACTGCCAGTGAAGGTGACTGCTGCCTGTTCCTGTCTTTCCTCTGTGTGTGTGACTTCTGGCTTCATTATTCAGCTGCGTCAGTTGCCTTTGTCACGGTCAGTTAGTCCCGTGTTTGTGTCTTGTCAGGTCCAGCAGCGTCTGCAGTCTTCTGTTACATCAGCGCCCTTCGCTTCTCACACTGCAGCCCCTCAAAGTGTTTGTGTTCGGGTTAGCGAAGGAACAGCGCAGAGCTAAAACGGGGGGGTTGCTTTTATTGGGGATTGATGACGCAGGGAGAGGACAAAGAGCGCAAGTCTCGTAATTTGCCGTGTCCTTCACCTTGTTTGCCCGTGCTGTAGATGGAATGCTCTGCAGTGATTGGCTCACTTCTGGGAGGGCTTGTTTTTGGCGATAAGCCCTCTTTTACTTCTCCCCTGCAACGATTGTGTGAATAAAGTCATTTTGATGTGGCACACGTGCATAAGTGTGTTTTCTGTGCTGCATATTTCTACCATAAAGACTGATTAACTGTCCTTTGATGTTTACCGGATTTGACCGAGACTATTTACCACTCTCGTGTTTTTGTTTGGTCTGTGCGAGCGATAGGTGGAGATGGGACGTTCAGCTCTTGTTTAGGATGTATACAGATGGCAGAGATTGCTGCGTTCTCTTGTCTCCCCTGCAGTCGACGCGGTACTGCCCAGCAGTCAGCGGTTTGTTTATGGGACTCTGTTTGCCAAGCTAATCTTCCCGCCTTTCAAGTGGGAGCCAGTAAGTGAAAAAGAGAGCAAGAGAGAGAGAGAGAGAGAGAGAGGGAAGGAGGTTGGGAGCGAAGGAGCGAGAGTGTGAAAGTGAGGCAGGCAGTTGAGGAGTTTGTGAGGAGGCAGAAAGATAGATGTGCTCAGAAGTGCGTTTGCTTTTCAGATTTGTATTTTTTTTTTTTTTAAGTTTTGTCTTCTGCCGTTCTGCCGAGCTCCGTCGGTTCATGACCCGTGTTTATGATGGAACCTTATGATTACACAAAGTGCTGAGCTGGAGCTGGTGCACCTGTAGCCCAGTTTGCAGAAGAGGAGTGCAGACCAGGAGGCAAAAAAAGAGCCGTTAGTCAGCACCTCWTCTCCTCGGCTCTGCTTCGTCACCTGCTGGATGGGGGTACTTGTGTGCTGCGACTGCTTCTTTTATAGGTACATGTCTCGTTTACTGTTAAAATGTATTTTTTTATAAGCTTTAAAAGCATACTTTCCTTTTACTTCTCCGTCCTGCGTCTCCTCCTCCTTTCCAAAAGCTCATTCACGTTCTCTGTTATTGTGCTGCGGTTTGGAGGAGACATTTAAGGACAGTGCTGCTGTAGCAGTTGAGATTCTGCTGTAGTCAGACACTAGAGGTATCTTAAACTGTGGGCGGGGAGGAGGAGGAGGGACGGAGAGAGGAAGTTGCGGACATGGGGACATCAGTGGCACACAGCCAGTCTYCTATAGATGACCAGAGAAGGGGGTGTCATGTTGCTGGTTACCAGGTTTGTTTGGATGACAGGTGAAGGCTAATTAGAAATGGAATGCAGCCAGAAGGCAGTTATCTGGTCCAGCTTTCCCAACTTTTCCTCTCATCCTGCAGCGTGCCTCTTCTGGCAGAGCAGCACTGTTTGTTTGGGACACAGTGTTCCCTTATAAGAGATGGGAATGTGTTTGGTCTTTTTTTTTTTTTTTTTACTGTTTTGGTTGTTCGACTCAACAGAATTTTTTTTAACATTTACTTCTCATTTTGTAAATTTCACTTCAGCTCAGTTCAGCCATTCTGTGTTGCAGAGTTRAGTTTAAAACTTTTACTGAGTCACTGCATATGAAGTGGTTTCTTGTGTTTGAAAGTAATGTCGAAAAGATTTCAGYTTAGACTCTCGGATCTGTTTCTCTTCTTTTGTGGTTGCGGGCTAAGTCGGCCCGATCGAGTCCTAAATGTTGTATAAAGCCTAAATATATCTCTCCCACTCTAAAGGAGCATTTTAATGGTAAGGGTAAAATTGTAGCTTTAACGCAGGCACACACAGAACAGCTGGACTGCATTATTCCTCGCTGTGATTCAGAACTTTGCTTCAGCTTAAACACGAGTGCCGGTTGTGTGTGTGTGCCGTTTAAATCTGTGGCTCCACATGTGTTAAAGGCTGTGGGCTTCAGTGAAATACACACAGAAGCCTTGTGAGGGAGGACCCATGCCAGAAGTACAAATGTTCTTTTCTTCTTCACTTATAATAAGGAAGGGTGGGATTTGGACCCTAATGTCTTATGGGCTCATTATTCCAAAATAGAAAGTCAGGTCTATTTTTAACTCATCTCCTCCCAAACTTTCTACCCAATGAGATGGCTTAGAGGTGATTATATTTAATTGATGTGKTTTTTTTTTTTTTT